ACACTGTTGTGGTGTAGGGGTCACCTTTCGAACTTGTAACCCATGTCCTGCTATATAAACTGAGGATGGGAGTTCCCCGGCTGTCAAAAGTTAAACGAGCCACATTGCTAGGGTATTTGTCTCCGCCCACGGGCAGGAAGAACGTAAGTGTTACCCTTTAGGATTGGGAGGTCTTGGAGTTCCAGCTGTTCAAGAATGTCAGTGCCACATGTCTGGAAATTTTGTTGAAACTATGGTATGGGGGAGAATGACGGTACCCCTACAAGAATTGAGGGAATGATGTTTTTCAAGAATGACAGGAACAGTATCGATATGGGAAAGACGAGAGAGCTCTGAGCCTGGGTAGCATTCTGTACGGTTAATGATGCGCATACCGCTCTTAAGAGTATGAAAGAAATATCTTTACCAACATGGCGTAGGAGTGCCTTGCCAATACTATGGCAGAAAGATAGGCAGATAGAGGAAGTTGGTCGTTTAAAATGAGAATTTAGTCCATTGTTCAGTCTGAAACTGAGCGTGGAAAGGTAGTGAAGGACGGTTTTCGATCGTTTCTGAGAAGAACGAGAAGGTGGAGAAGTATCATCAGCAGGTAATTGTCTTTGGCGTTTTTGGCGTGGGGGCCAGAGTTGGTCCCCACGTGGAACGGGTCGGCGATTTGAAAATTGCCGCACCGTAGAGGGAGAGGCTGGAAGCATAGTCAGAGGAGAGCGAAGGTTCCCATAAATCGAAGGAGTCAAATCGAGGCCTCAGTACCTGAAGCGGGTGAGGAAACAGCACCCGGGAATAGGTACAGAGGCATGAGGAATGTCGGAAGAGTGGTCCAAAGACGAGCGGGGTCAGAACGGGGTGCGGTATCAAAGGGGCCCGGGGGTACCAGGTTTTTATGGACTAGGGCTGCCATGGTTAGGTTACCTTCTTTCTTTTTGTTTTTAAGAAAAAAAAAAGAAAGAAAAAAAGAAAATAAAAATAAAAAAAAGAATAAAAAAAGGGGGGACGGGAGAGGGATAGTTCCTAGGAGGAATGAAAGGGCCCGCAATCTCCTTCCGCGCCCAAGAGGACCTCAGCACCGCAAGTAGCGCAGATGCAGCATGGAACCCGTGCCATACCCTACCCCTCATGCTAGTAAACTAACAATCCGGGATAGCCCAAACCTCACATCTGCCGAGCTACCTCGGTGGACAAAAGAGGGGGCGCCCGGGTATCTGCCACAAAGCATATCTCCTTCGGCCACCACCCCCGGAATCCGAAAGGTGGCTTCCAGAGATACACTCATCGCCCGAAAGACACCCAAAGCTACTCCGGGATACCGGAGAGGGATCGGGACATCCCCAGGTGATCCAGATTCCACGGCAAACTACGCCACCGCTAAGAACCTCAACGGAACGGAATGGGATGGACCCTGGTATCCTTTCCCCTACCTAGGAACTAGCGCGCCTGTGGGAGAAATCCCAAAGGACAAAAAGAGGAAGGGCAAAAGGGAGGGGTGGGGATAGGGGAGGGGAGATTGGGGGGTAATTAGGTTCGGTCTGAGGAAGAAGACCGATAGGTCTAATTCCTCAGACCAAGAGCCTCTTCACCACACCAAGGAGCCCCCCTTGAAGAGGTGATTACTTAGTAGATAATTAACTTGTAATTGTTATGCAAATTACTTGGTAGTGAATCAAATAAGGTCATACATAGATAGTAAATATTTCCTTAAGGAATTTTAAATATGCATAACCTTGAAAATGCATAGCAATATGACAAAAATAGACTTTTATATAAAGATTGCTTAAGATTTATTTATAAATTTTATATTTAATAGCCAATTTATTCATCTCTATTTTGCTCATGTTTAATAACTTTTCATATATCAACAGTAGTGTTGTGTATTGGTAAATTAAGGAGATAGGTGGAGCTGAGTGTAAGGTGTTATACAGGTGTTATGAGTGGCGCGGTGTGCAGACCGGACGCCACCCCTCTCACACCTTGTCACTCTACCTTTCCAAAATGCAGTTGTCGTGACAGAGGTCCTTACTGCAATGTATTCCACTACCACTGTAGGAGCGGAATATTATCATCTCCTTCACTCAAGACTGTGATGAAATGCGGTCTCATCCACTACTGTGAAGCTCTATGAAGTCATGATCGTCTGCCTGTTGCTGTCTCTACATGTACACTGATGTGCAGCCCAAGTATATGAAGCATATGTTAGTGGCAGACACTGAAATTCAGAGCAGCATGACTCAAGAGTTAATTATATTTTTGTGAAATATTGTTTGGTTTGAAAAGCAGAAACCTTATCACTTTTCCTGGTGCAACCTGGGGTCGTGAGGGGGAGGTGTTACGAGTGTGACCTTACCCGATTTGTATTTGAGAAATATCCCAGTAGAATATTGCTCTATATTTTATATCTATTTTAATAATATTGTATTGTATTGTATTATATTGTTTTGTTAAGCGTTATATTAAGAATGTCAGTTTCTTGTAGTGGGAAACCACTAGTTGGAGCGCCAGTTACTAGTTTAGGTACTGACGTCTCCCTCAGTCACGTGATCAACCTGACGTTGGCTTACCACTCAGTAGTACCGTCAGTAGGGTCACAGCCCTTGCTCTGAGTAAGTTCCCACACTCGCTCAGAGTAGCTTCATACACTCTTCTGAGCACATTCAGGCACTCATCCTTTAATACATTCCCCCACTCTAGAAAATTACTTAGTCCCAGACAACATGTACTTTTATGTATAACACTACAAGAGAGAGAGAGAACTTTGTATCATATACTAAGTTTTATATGGATTCTTTTATAATAAAGGTCACATTTTATTTAGTCGGATCAGTTTCCTAATGATAATCCCCATATTAAATTGATGTGTGTCTAAGGACAACTAGACGAGAGCTGGATTCGATGTCTTGTTACGGAAAGGGGCCAAAACATAGACATAACAGGGGGCGAGGGGGTGGTGAAACAGGAGTAGGAGTGGAAATGGGAGAAGAAGTGGGATCAGAAGCAGGAGTAAAAGTAGAAGTGGAAGCAGGAACAGAAGCGGGAAAGCGAATGAAAGTGGGAGGAGTGGAATCAGCAGCTGGAGTGAGTGGTAGTGAAAGCAGCCAAAGGAGAAGTAGGAGCACCTCCACATTCCATGCAAACTGCACTACTCCCAAGGAACCCCACGGAGTGGGATGAACCCCAGCACACTTCCTCCTACCTAGAAACCATAATGCCAGAGGGGAGGACCTCAGAGGCTACAAACGGAAATGGGAGGGGGGAGGAAAGGGAAAAGGGAGGATGGGGTAGGGAAGGAGGGATTGGGGGGGTAATTAGGTTCAGTCTGTGGAAGGAGATCAAAAGGTCTAATTCCTCATAGAGAGAGCCTTTTCACCTCGCCCTCCCCTTGAAGAGGCCAATTTTTCTTTATCTAAATCATTTGATACCCTCATCACTTTCAACTTCCTACCTTTACACACCCTCCCAAACTCGTCTACTAACCTTTACATCAGCCGACCTGAATTTAGTTTCTTGATGCCAATTTACTTTTCCACTTGCAGGTGCCACCGCTTCTTCAAACTGGTTTTTCACGTTTAATTATACTTAGTCTGACCTGTGAAGACTGAAAACATTCCAACTGCTAGAATTCTACCTAAGTTAATAAACTACAAAAATCCTTAGCCTTTTCATTTTCTTACATTTAATGTCATTGTTTAGCGATACAGGTGAATCATCCCCTTAAGGGAGGTTTCTTGATCCAAGGAATTGTACCAACCTTCCACATGGATTGAACCTTAATGCCTCCCAGGTGCTGTATAACTCCTATGGATTTAGTGCTCCTCCATAAATGTGGGTTATTACACAGGAAAGCACCTGGGTCATATAGGTCACAGTGCCTGACCTCAGGGCCACACTGGGCACAGCCCCATGGCCTCACCCACACCTTTTGTGACCTTTCACCCCTGACATTCCATCCACACCTTATCAGTCACCCACCACCTTCATTACCACCAACAGCACACTTAACCCCCTTCCCCCTCCCCAAACACACACAGCCACTAACTGCCCACTTACCATTCACAACAACACCACAACTTCAAGCCCCATACCAGATCACTGACAACATCTTGTTGCTTCCAGCCTGTACACCCTTCCAGTGTATGTAGGGTAACCTGTAAATGACACTTTTATCATCATTCATACTGTCACTGTCTTGCCAGAGGCATGCAGATCACTCCCATCTCCTGGATGGCTAACTGGTATCCTTGAATCACTTCACAAAACATTACCCTACTTGCACTCCAACAGTTTGTCAGATCCCAAAAACCATTGGCCTCCACTCCCTCCATTCTTTCCTAGGAAAACCCCTACCCCACCTTCCCACCACTACAGATTTAGACACCCTCTAAGTCTCTGAATGACCATCCCCCTTAACAACTCCTCTGCACCTGTTAATCTCTAAACTATGAATTCTCTGCATAAGTTACATCGCACGTTGCCTCCAACCTCCTCCTCACTGCAACATTCAAAACCCAAGCTTCACACCCATATAAGTGTGTTGGAACTGCTATATTCCCATACTTTTTCCTCTTTACCTTCTTTGTCTGCACAGATGCTTCAATGGTTTACCATATCTTACATATACCCAGCCACCAGTTAGCCTTCGAGTCCTAGAAGTGGGAAGTACAGTCCCTGCACTCTAAAGGAGGGGGTGGGGATATTTGCTGTTTGGAGGGACATCTGAAATTGTTGTATCTATGTGCCTCTGGTAAGACAGTGCAAGTGATGGTGAAAATTTCTTAATCAGGTTTACCCTACCTCAGTGGAAAAAGACCAGTATTAAAAAAAAATTATACATTTTAATTTTAACAAGCTGACCATCTCACAAAGGCAACAATGACCCATAAGAGAAACACCATTATTTACATTCTCACTGTCTTGCCAGAGGTGCACAGATATGACACATTAATGGCAGTGTGCACAACCAACTTTTATCAATATGTGCTATTTATAAAATTAAATCATGATAAAAACGTGATTCTATAAATGAAAAAATACCTTTATTTTATTTATCACAACTTTAAATAACCAATTACCTTTGGAAATCTTTTGTTAGGTTTATATACAATCTTCCTTAGGGAATTCAACCGACTTCATAAATAACTCACAAAAAAAATATAGCTATAAATTAAAGTAACTTTTTCATAAAAAAAGTTTGATAATCAGCAGTGTCCTTCACTGAAGTTATTTTAGAGATAATGGAACTCTGTATCCAGGAAAAAATCAAAATTTTTTATAATTCTGGAAGGCCTTATTTCCAAAGCGCCCTGTTCTTTCACGCAGACCTTTTTCAGCCTTGGCTTTCTCCCAACGTTCCTTCATGCGGTGTAATTCAGGGTGGACCTCCTGTAAAAGAAATGTGTCAATATTGCAAACTGTATACAATACAGACAAGTTGAACATACAGCAGGCATGTGTGAGCATGTTAAATAGAAGCAAGTGAAAATGAATGGTTTCTAGGACTTGATGAATTGTTGCAGCATTGTGAAGAGATTCAGAGAAACTGGTTAGCCAGACTTGAGTCCTGGAGGTGGGAAGAGTGATAATGTAAATGATGGTTAAAGTTTCTCTTTGGGTCACCCTGCCTTGGTGGAGATGGCCAGCTTGTTAACCCTTTCAGGGTCCGTCCCATAGATCTACGGCTTTACGTTCGGGGTCCAAACCGTAGATCTACGCCAAAATTCTAGCGGTGTCAAATTTAGCACGAGAAGGCTGGTAGGCCTACATCTGAGAGAATGGGTCTGGGTGGTCAGTGTGCACACCAAAGAAAAAATCTGGACGCCCGCATGGCATTGTGGGAACACCGGCAAAGTAGCTTTGTTCATCATGCCTGGCAGCAAGGAAGCTCTCACTCCCCACTCACTCTCCCGGTGAATTCTGACTCTCTTCTTCACAACTTACAGTTCTAAGACTGATGGAAGTGGAGCTGAAGATGAATTCTATGGTTTTGAACCATATGGTACCATTGTGCCATATGGTACAATGGTGCCATGTCATTCAATGGTATATGGTACAATGGTACCATATGGTACAATGCACCATATAATACATTGTACCATATGGTACATTATACCAAATGGTACATTATACCATATGGTACATTATACCATATGGTACATTATACCATATGGTACATTATACCATATGGTACAGGGTACAGGGACCCTAATGGAAATAAGTCTGTCTGACTTTTTTTTGAGTTATCCTAGGTTCTCCAAACATATGCTGCTAAGTATGATATTCTATGTAACTTTATTTGTGTACAGCTAAATAAACTTACTTATGATGCCATATGCACTTGAGTAAGTTTATTCAGGCGTACAGAAATACAATTATAGAGATTATCATACATAGCAGCATATGTATAAAATCCTAGGATAACCCAAAAAAAGTCAGGGTGACTTATTTCCATAGTTATCCCTGTATCTGTACCATATGGTGTCCTGTACTGTATGGTACCCTGTGCCATATGGTACCCTGTGCCATATGGTACCCTGTGCCATATGGTACCCTGTGCCATATGGTACCCTGTGCCATATGGTACCCTGTGCTATATGGTACCCTGCACCATGTTATCCTATACTGCATGGTACCCTATACCATATAGTACAATGTACCATATGGTACCCTGTAACATATGATACTGTGTACCATATGGTCAATAGGTGTTGGTGGCATGAGACACCAGCCAAGACTGAGTGAGTGGCAACGCAAGCAAGCTACTGACTCCGCAGTTTTCCGAGACAAAGTGCTTTGTCATCCACCTCAAGGAACACGTCAAGTTCCTGTACACTTGTAAATATAATAGAACATTACTAATATACAACATTTTTGCATATTTTTGTTGTAAACAACTATTGTAAACAAAATAATAATGAAAATATTAGTGTGTTTATTGTGTTGAATACAACAGTACCATATAGTACCATACAGTACAATGTACCATATGGTACCATTGCACCATATGGTACCATTACACCTTATGGTACCATAAGGTACCATTGTATATGGTACCATTGTATATGGTACCATTGTACCAAATGGTGCCATTGTACCATATTGTACCATTGTATCATATGGTACCATTGTATCATGTGCCATTGTACCATATGGTACCATTGTATCATATGGTGCCATTGTACCATATGGTACCATTGCACCCTATGGCACCATTGTACCATATGGTACTATATGGTACCATTGTATTCAACACAATAACCGCACTAATATTTTCATCATTTTGTTTACAATAAACTTGTAAACAAGTTTTGTAAGCAATATAATGATAAACAAATTAGTGCAGCTATTGTGTTGAATACAATGAGTGTACACTTATACAATATACATTATACTGGTCTCACAGGCCACAAATGTTATTAGAAAAAGAAAAAATTAGAAAAGAAAAAGAGTATAAAAAACGTAAAATAAAAAAATGGGATTTTGTGGAAGTCACTGATGTTGCCTCCACCCTGTCATTTTGGGTCAACTTCCCGCCGCTGTATCTCGGTAAGTACTGATCAGAATTTTTTTTTTGTTTTATTACCTTCAGAAAAATATTATCTTTAATTCTGGTAGAATTTTTTTTTTTTTTTTTTTTTTTTTTTTTTTTTTTTTTTTTTTCAAAATTTCTTGGACACTGGGGCACTACTTCAGATTTTGGCCTTGGACCCTGAAAGGGTTAAAAAAAAATACTGCACTACAGGTTCCAAATACAGCACACTGATCGTTGGTCAAAAATTTTTGAAAAGATGTATGCTTCTTAACTCTTTGACTGTTGCAAGCCCATTTCTGAAACTGTCATTCTATGTCGAAAAATATTGAAAAAAAAAAAAAAAATCTTATCAATATGTTAGGATTATTTTGCAGAGTGTTTTAAGCCTAAAAAAAAAAAATTGTGATCAGTACTTACCGAGATACAGAGGCATGAAGTTGGCAGGAAATGAGTCGCATATGGCAGCAGCAAATGCCGCTCGTCCGGTAAATTAATTTTTATTTTACTCCCATTCGAAGGTTCTTGTTTTTTCCACTACTTTATTTTTTCAGGTAACTTACGTGGCCTGTGAAACCAAAGTAAGGTGCAATGTACACATATACACTCATTGTATACAACACAATAAGCACACAAACATAATTATCAATATATTGTTTACAAAACTTGTTTACACAAACAAAAAAATTTTTATTACTATTATTCTATAATATGTATATAAATGTACAATCACTGGACATGTTCCTAGAAGTTCTGCAGATTGTGGAACTCTTTGAAACATGGTTTCATACACAATGGTGTTTTACACTCCTCACACATAAAACAAGTGTCTGTGCTTTTGTGGTTTTTTTTTTGTATGTGCATGGACAAAACACCTTGTCTGAGCAGTTTTCTTCATAGTAGTAGCAGGCTGTTGTGTTAGGTAGTTATCCTAGGTGAATGGTCATGTGTGATCATTCCTACCTACCTACCTTTCTTTCTTCATTCTTTACTTCCTTCCAATTTCTATAATACAGTGGACCCTTGGTTTTCATGTTTAATCTGTTCCAGAGCCATCAGCCAAAACCATTTCCCCCATAAGAAATAATGTAAATGGAATTAATCCATTCCAGGCACCCAGAAGTACATCAACAAAAATATTTTTTACCTTAAATATACATTTACATGCACAAAAGAATGAACATTAACCCTTTCAGGGTCCGTGCCGCAGATCTACGACTTTACGTTCAGGGTCCAAACCGTAGATCTACGCCCTGAGTTCAGCTCACTCTGATAAGCTGTAAGCAGTAAATTTGGGCCTAGATATGAGAGAATACATCGATGTGGTATGTGTGCACCACATAAAACAAATCCTGCAGCACACAGTGCATAGAGAAAAAAAACCGAGACCGACTTTTGGTGTCATTACCAAGTAATGACACCAAAAGTAAGAAATTTGGTCAAAAACTCACGGAATTACGCTCCCGCAAAGTTAGCGGTCTCGGCGACATATACGCATCAGCGATTTCGCCGACTGTTCCAGATGACCAAACTCACAGCTATTTCTTTAGAATTCCATTTTTTCTATCAGTTGAGTACACAAGAAACCGCCCATTTACCGATTTGAACTACCCAATAAAGTGGTCAGAAATTGGCAATTTGGCCAATTTCACGTAAATTAAAAAAGATGCCAATTTCAAAATAGGGTCCAGAATAACAATGTAGACATTCTTGGCACTAAAATAACATATCCTCTGCTCATTAGTCACGTCTCTAGGCCCCTCTTTTATTACTATTGCTTTCTATTTTGATTTTTTCATATAAAAAATACAAAATTTACTGTTATGCAGACTACTGCATTATTGTAAAAAGGGTATAAATAATATCAGCGCACTAGTGAAAGAATATTACTCCCCCCAGTTGCGTGTATTGGACGTGTGGTGTGATTCGCTTACTCCTGAACATTGGTAAAAATCGAACATTTCCACTACTTTGAGCTCAATTTCAAGGTTGTTTTCATCGTGAAACTAATCAAAATCATCTTTATTTCTGTAATATGTTTTCCATTTATCATGAGAGACCATGAAAATGAGAATACAACAATAAATACTATACGAAAATACACCTCAAAATCGGAGTTTTAATTAAAAAAAAAAATGGTCAGTTTTTTTTTCTCATTATGCATTGTGTGCTGCAGGATTTTTTTTTGTGGTGCACACTGACCACACAGACCCATTCTCTCATGTGGGCCTACCAGCTTTCTCCTGCTTGATTTGAAGCCGCTAGAATTTATGCGCATTAATACGTCCAAAACACTGGCTTGTAAGACATATATATACAACCAAAACAGTCAAAGGGTTAAGTGATATGTTACATCCCATATTCTTGTAAGCTTTGATGAGGTTCCAGAGAAATCCCTTAGCCAATAACTTGAATGCTTCCCCATGAAGGTCTGATTCAAGGTCACTGTCTTTAACCCTTTGAGGGTTTTCGTCGTACTAGTACGTCTTACGCGTAGGGGTTTTTGACGTACTAGTACTCATAAATTCTAGCGACCTCAAATCTAGTGGGAGAAAGCTGGTAGGCCTTCATATGAAAGAATGGGTCTATGTGGTCAGTGTGCACAGTCTAAAAAAAATCCTGCAGCACACGGTGCATAATGAGAAAAAAAAAACTTTTTCCATTTTTTTTTAATAAATCAGCGACTTTGCAGTGTATTTTCGTATAGTATTTATTGTTGTATTCTAGTTTTCTTGGTCTCATTTTATAGAATGGAAGACATATTACTGAAATTGAGATGATTTTGACTGGTTTTACAATGAAAGGTGCCTTGAAATTGAGCTCAAAGTAGCAGAAATGTTCGATTTTTACCAAACTTCAAAAGTAAACAAATCGTGCCAAGCGTGCAATACACGTCAACTGGTGAGTCTAATATTCTTTCACAAGTGCACCAATAATATTTATACCATTTTTTACACTAATGCAGTAGTCTGCATAATAGTAAATCTTATATTTTTTGTGAGAATAAAAATTCAAAGTGGAAAGCAAAAGAATATAAAAGGGGCCTTGAGACGTGACTAATGACTAGAGGAAATGTCATTTTAGTGCCAGGAATGTCTTTCTTGTTTATTCTGGACCCTATTCCGAAATTGGCATCGTTTGAAATTTGTGTGAAATTGGCAAAATTGCTAAATTCTGACCACTGTACTGGATAGTTGAATTTATAAATGGGTGGTTTCTTGCACCCATTCGATAGAAAAAATGGAGTTCTAGCGAAATATTCATGTTTTTTGTCGACTAGTACAGTGAAATTGGCCGAAAATGGGGCTCAAAGTGGGCAAAATCGCCGATCCGTAAACATCGCCGAGACCGCTAACTTTGCGAGAGCATAATTCCGTAAGTTTTCTATCAAATTTCAAACTTTTGGTGTCGTTATGATCGGGAAAAGATTCTCTATCTTTTCATAAGAGAAAATAATTTTTTTTTTTTTTTAAATTTGGCCGACCCTGAGAACGAGTTTCGGAGAGGGCCTGTCGACCCTCAAAGGGTTAAGAAGCTCTCGAATCTGAGGACCATTAAAGACTCCCTCTCTTATCTTAGCACTGCTCAGTGAGGGGGATTTGTCCATAGCTTTTACAAAGTTTTTCATGAGCCCCAGTTTTGTGTATAGTGGTGGTAGCAAAATTTTGTTTGGTTCAATGAGAGGTGGGTGTTGAACATTTTTCATCCCAGGCTCCAATGACTGATGAGGTGGCCAGTCCCATTCACATAGAAAGCAGCAATACTTGGTGTGAAAAGTGTTTGGCTAAGAAAATCAACTACCTTTCACCTCAAAATATAACCTTGCACAGCACTACATACAAACTTTCTATGACTGCTGGAACAATAATGAAGGGCAGGGAGACTGCAAGTGTGGCAAGAAACACAGTGCCGCAAACCTGGTGGAACCTGTTGTGACACGTAGGTAGCAACAGTAGAGCTTAGTCATTATCAGTGACCTAAAATTAGATGGAAATTGCTACTCTGGTCTCGGAAGACTGAGGAACTGATAACCTAAGTGTTGTGCCTGCACTCTTCAACGTGTGAATTACTAGTAATTAATAATTCCTTAATAAAAATTTACAGTTATCAACTGGTAAATGAATTTACAAAAAGTACTATGCAGTACATACCTGAATACCTGCAACCTTTGAGTAAGTATGATTACCTGATTTGACTTCTCCAAGATATTTACTAATTTTCCAGCATTCCTCCAGTCTTCTCTTGTGACCAGCGTGTAAGCAATGCCAATGCGACCAGCCCGGCCTGTGCGTCCAACTCTATGTACATACTCCTCCATATCTCTTGGACAGTCATAATTCAGAATGTGTCTGTTAAAATTTAAAATACATAAGAAGAGCAAAACAATTAAATATATTAATATGTATACGCTTTATTATTTTTCTTCTTATTCTTTTTAGTAATCTTTACAGGAAAAGGGGTTACTAGCCCATTGTTCCCGGCATTTTAGTTGACTTTTACAACACGCATGGCTTACGGAGGAAAGATTCTTATTCCACTTCCCCGTGGATATAAAAGGAAAAGTAATAAGACCAAGAACTATTAAGATAAAATCAAAGAAAAACTCAGATGAGTGTGTATAAATAAATGTGTACATGTATGTGTAGTGTGACCAAAGTGTAAGTAGAAGTAGCAAGACATACCTGTAATCCTGCATATTTATGAGACAGACAAAAGACATCAGCAATCCTACCAACATGTAAAACAATTACAGGCTTTCGTTTTATGCTCACTTGGCAGGACGGTAGTACCTCCCTGGGTGGCTGCTGTCTACCAACCTACTACGGGAAACCGGTTATTTTCATATAGTCGGACTTGAGTCCTGGAAATGGGAAGTACAATGCCTGCATTTTAAAGGAGGGGTTTGGGATATTGGCAGTTTGGAGGGATATGTTGTGTATTTATATGTGTATACTTCTAAACTGTTGTATTCTGAGCACCTCTGCAAAAACAGTGATAATGCGTGAGTGTGGTGAAAGTGTTGAATGATGATGAAAGTATTTTCTTTTTGGGGATTTTCTTGCTTTTTTTGGGTCGCCCTGCCTCAGTGGGAGACGGCCGACTTGTTGGGGGGGGGGGAGTATACGCTTTATTTTCATTGTGCTCATACCATTAAGAGGGGGTTCACATCCAAAGAGAGATTATGAGGTTAAAGTTGCAAGAGAATCAAAGACTAACCCAAAAGGATTCTTTCAGGTATACAGAAGTAAGATTAGTAGGGACAAGATAGGCCCACTCAAAAGTTACTCAGGTCAGCTCACCCACAGTGGTAAGGAAATGTGTAGAATTTTTAACACTTACTTCCTCTCAGTTTTTACACAGGAAGATACTAGCGATATTCCAGAAATAATAAATTACGTAGAACAGGACGATAATAAACTATGCACGATTAGGGTCACAAGTGACATGGTCCTTAGAATGTAAAGAGGAGCTTAGCAAACCTTTGGTTATTCTTTTCAACATATCACTACAAACTGGCATAGTGCCAAGTAAGTGGAAAATGGCAAATGTGATACCTAAATTTCAAAGCAGGTGACATGTCGTCAGCCTCAAACTATACACATCCTGGATTATTCATTACAGAAGCTCCTATATTCACCTCATTCTTTTTAATTGTACAAACTGATGCTTCATTAAGGTCACTGGCCCTCACTATATCCAACACACATGAGCCACTCTTAAGCTTGTCTAATATCTTGATTTTCTTCGTAACTCCTAGACTTAAACGGTTAAACCTTTACTTACTACTGGGTTCCATGATTGTTTGGCAGATACAAGATATGGCAATTAAAAGACCTAAACTCAATCTGCAAACACAGCTAGCTCCTTGTAGAGAATGGTCCCGAGTTGGGAAATTATCCCGCGACACTCCAAAATTTTTACCCTCCTACAAACCGAACCATGTAAATTAATTTTACAAAGTGTTGTATAAAATTGTGCCGCAATTTTTCAATACATATATATTGTAGTGCAATAACCAAAATGTGCCAAATAAAACCATGTAATATAATGGTCTACTTTAGATAGATAACCTTTATTACTAATACAGTGGAACCTCTACTTACGAGTGCATCCACGTGCGAGTTTTTCCAGATACAAGTAGTTGCTCGGTCAATTTTTTGCTTCCAGACACGAGCGAAATTTCCAGATGTGAGCGGGCCTCAGGGAGGCTCCTTGATGAGGGGCTCTTGCTCTTGATCTAGGGAACTGGATCTGTTGTTTGTTGGACTATCTTATTGAAACTTGGGCAATGTATGATGGAAAGATGCTTCTTAATGTACACCAAAAATGAAAGAAATTGAACCATAAATAATGGAGTTCACTTCTCAGCCATTAGCTGCCACTTAGCACTATTTTCATTTGGTTTTTATGGTTGTATTCTCACTTTTTTGGTCTCATTTGATAGAATGGAAGATACATTACAGAAATAGATATGATTTTGATTGGTTTCACAACGAAAAGTACCTTGAAACTGAGGTCAAAGTAGCAGAAATGTTTGATTCTTTGGTGATGTTCAAGAGTAAACAAATGTCCATTCCAATATGCAGTCATGAATGGGTTGACATTATTTATACAATTATTACAATAATGAAGTAGTCTGCATAACAGTAAATCTTTTATTTTTTGTGCGAATAAAAATTACAAATTATTTATATTGTAATAATAATAATAATAATAATACATGGCAGTGATTACCATAACAATGTGGGAGCAGTTGTGGTCGCCTCCACTTGTCACATAATGGCATTTTATTCATTCTAGAGCACACATCATGTTTCTATGTTATTTATATTGTTTATGTCATATTAGATGAATTGTGATAGATAAACAAGCCATATAATAATAATAATTTTTATTTGGACATGATACATAGTTGTACAAGGAATTACAGTAGTTGGGTGTACATGCCAAAAGTCCCTTGTGTGCAGAGCATTATGGGCAGGCTTAAAATTAACTTAAGATTAACTCATCCATACTTATTATTGTGCCTACTACATACATAGAACACTAAACTCGGATATAAACCCTCCCCTCAAACATCTTATCAACCTCAACAGAACACATGACCATAACACAAGGCACAGATCACTCTTGGATGTTCCCCGTGTCCATCTCACACTATGTAAAAACTCAATTCACATAAAAGGCCCAAAAATCTGGAAATCATTACCTGTGAATATAAAAGAAATACTGTCTGTTTATCAATTCAAGACTTCTTGAAAACCACTTACTCAACCACAACTAAATAAATAATGAATAACTGAATCTCATAAATATAACCTGTGACCCTATCAAACTATGTTTTTTTTTAAATACGTTACCTAACAGAATACTCCATTCTCTTGAATGCACAGTAATGCATCTAATGACCATATGACCTGTTTCTGCACTACAAATCATTGATTTTACTCTATCTGATTCGATTATATTATACATTGTTATGCTACAAATTTGTATAACTTTAATGTTTCTTATTTGAAATACTCATTTGTACTTCATGTTGTAATTTGCTTACTGTAATTTTTACCACTGAATATATCATTGCTTAGTTAATCTTAAGTTAATTTTAAGCCTACCCATAATGCTCTGCATACAAGGGGCTTTTGGCATGTACACCCAATCACTATATTTCTTTGTACAACTGTGTCATGTCCAAATAAAAAAAAATAAAAATAAATAAATAAATAAGCAATGATATATTCAGTGGCAAAAATTACAGTAAACAAATTACAACATGAAGTACAATGATTATTTTAAACTATGAAATTTGAATATTTCAATTAAGAAGCATTATAGGTAGTTGTACAAATCTGTAGCAGTACAATGTATAACAAAATGATCAATATACTATATGAAGTCATACAATTTATTAATCAGATCAAGCCAAATAAAATCAATGATTTGTAGGCCGGAAACAGGTCATATGGTCATTAGACGAGTTACTGTGCATTCAAGAGAATGGAGTATTCTATTAGGAAATGTAATTAAAAAACATAGTTTGACAGTCACAGGTTATACATTTATGAAATACAGTTATTCAATATATATTTAGTAGTGGGTGAGTAAGTGGTTTTTAAGAAGAGTCTTGAATTAATAAACAGACAGTGTTTCTTTTGTAGTCATAGGTAATGAATTCCAGATTTTTGGGCCTTTTATGTGCACCGAGTTTTTACATAGTGTGAGATGGACACGGGGAACATCAAAGAGTGATCTATGCCTTGTGTTCGGATCATGTGTTTGTTGAGGTTGGTAAGCAGAAGTTTAGGGGAAGGGTTTATATCTAAGTTGAGTGTTCTATGTATGTAGTAAGCACAATAATAAGTATGGATGTTTTGTACGGTGAGTAAGTTTAGAGTTTTGAATACTGGTGGAGTATGCTGCCTGGAATGGGAATTTATCATCATTCTGACTGTAGCCTTTTTTGGGTAATTAATGGTCTGAGATGATTTATTGTTGTTGAGCCCCATGCACAGATTCCATAGGCAAGATAGGGGTTAATAAGCGAGTGATATAGGGCCAGGAGAGCCGATTGTCGAACATAGTACCGTATCTTCGATAGTATGCCTATGGTCTTGGAGATTTTCTTGGAAATTTGTTGTATATGTGTTTGAAATTTGAGTCTATTATCAAGGTGGATTCCTAAGAATTTTCACTCTGAGCTTTGTGATAGGTGATCCATTATCATTATGTTAAGAGGAACATCTGTAGTTCTGTTCCCAAACTGAATGAAGCAGGTTTTGTCAATATTGAGAATAAGCTTGTTAATCATCATCCAGGTAGATATTTTCTGTAATTCAGTATTTACAGTATTAGCTAGTATGACTGGGCCTGAGTGAGAGAAGATGCATGCAGTGTCATCTGCAAATAGTGTGGGTTTGAGTAATTGTGATGCATTTGGTAGGTCGTTTATGTAAATGAGAAAGAGGGCCAAGGACACTTCCCTGTGGGACACCAACTGTAATTGGTTGTGTGGAAGAGTTTGCTCCATTTGTGTACACATATTGACTTCTGTTGCTAAGGTATGACTAAGTAGTTGAGGGAGTGCTCTCTTATACCATACTGTGATAATTTTATGTGCAACAAATCATGGTTAACTGTATCAAAAGCTTTACATAAATCAATGAAGATCCCCAATGGGACTTCTTTTTTCTCGAATGCAGTGTATATTTGTTCTAGCATGTGTATAATAGCATCATTCACATTTTTATTAGGCCTGAACCCAAACTGACAGGGGTTGAGTATGTTATGGGAGATGAGGTAGGAATAGATTCGCTTATGAATTAATTTTTCAAAAATTTGAGAGAGAAGG